AGAAGGTTTCCAGTAGAAGGAGGATCAAGCCCTGAACAAACCAATCAAAATATTGCATCCAATCTGAAAAAATCACAGATTGCTCTCTGAGAATGACCTCCCACTGCCTCACCCACTACCAATATAAACAGTCCCACATCATTTGTTGCTGATTTGTCCTTCTTTTAATTGTAGTTGCTGCACAGGCTGGACATGAAGCTTCACTTGGCAGTCATGCTAGCTGTTTATTTTAAATTTTTCTTTTCACTTTTATAATTCTGACACAGTCAAATGTGAGGCATTATCTTCATTTGTGGGAATTACATTTAAGTGAAAACAAATCTTCACAAACTGGGATTTGCTTCCCGAAGAGTAGTGGCTGAATCTCTATATGCACTGTAATCAGTCTGTTATGGAAAAACATCGCATCATTTAAAAAGTGACAACCAGGGCTTCAGAGATACAGAAGTCTGGGCAGAACACATTCTGTAGTAGGTTCATATTAAGAACAAGCTCAGAGAGAGTCCATCTCCCAGGCCCACAGTCAAATGGACATCCTTTTCTCTTTTGACCCAAAGCGTCTCTTTTACACCTCAGATGTTTCATTTTCTTATCTGAAGCTTATCTAGCTTATCTGAAGTCATCTTCAACAACATCAAAAGTTGCTGCTCCCTTTGCCTTCAAATTGTCTGTCTTTTGGAGTCAGAGAGAAGGACAATTTTAGGTAACTGAATCATAATAAGGCACCAGGTCTTGATGGTGTCAGCCTAAAAATCCTTAAGCCCTGTCCAGGGCAGCTCTGTGGGATTATCAGTATAAATTCAACCTTAGCATGACCCATTAGATGGTTCCAGTTATTTGGAAGACCTCCTGTCTTGTTACTAAACAAAGAAAACACAGCCAACAGTCCTTAATCACTATACATCTATTACCCTAATATCCAACATCCCAAAGGCCCTACAGAGACTCCTGGTGGTTCACTTGAGCAAGCAAACAAGCAGCTATCAAGACTCCCTGCAGTTTGCTTGTCACTTCATACACCTGCATCATCAAACCCACTTTCATTTAGACAATTTAAACAGCACTGGGATGATAATTTATGTTGATTTATGCAGTGCATTTAACACAATTCCACCTGATTTGAGTTGTTAGAAAATCCAGCAGACTCAAGTGGAGAGCTCAAGATTCCCTGGGATTAAAGACTGTCTGAAAATAGACCACCATTTGTGAGACTGAAGATTCAACTGTTTAATCAGGTAGTCAGCAACACTGCAGGGTGGTACTCACACCAGACTTTTACTCTGTATACCTCTGACCTACAGAAGAAGACAGAATCCTGTCATCTGCAAAAATACTCTGCAGTTGCAGGATGGATCAGAGATGGTCAAGATGGTACAGAAAAATTGTGAACCATTTTGTGATATGGTGTTAAAACAGTCATCTCATCCTGAATGTGAGGAAAACTAGGAAGATAATTGTAGATTTGAGATAAAACAGGAACAAGTCATAACGTATGTTATTAACATCTTGAAAGAAGAGGGGAGAATGGTGGACTAGTGATTAGGGCATAGGGCAGGGTTCTACAACCTGTGGCTCCAGAGCCATATGTGGCTCTTTGGACCCTCTACAGCGGATCTTAATAGTGGCTAAAATGTATATAAAGAACTACATAATGTACTATAATAAATATCAGTCTTAAAAGCTTTAGTGGTTTTTTATAAGGCGGGAAAGAATGACATTAAAAGAACCAAAAATAGGTTTTTAGAGCCATTTTTCTTTTAATTAGCTTAGAATTTATGTGTTTTAATATTATTTTAAAAGCTAAAAATACATAAATTGTTGGTTGTTTAAGATGAAAATTTTCCTATATGAGATAATTATAGCTTTTCTTTTCTTTTAAGTCATCTTATACTGCAGCGTCGGAACGGCAATGGGAATGGCTCTTTGGATAGGGCTTTGAATCCTGAGGTTGTGAGTTCGAAACCCACTCCTACAGACTGCCACTCTGCCTCTCTAAGCAAGACCCGAACTTCTCCCCGGATGCTGACAGTGGCAACCTATTGCTCCCCAAGGAGATGGGTTAAATTCGGAGAGTGAATTTGGATGTGCTGTACATGTGACAGTGTGATGATAATAAAAAGGCTGGAAAAAAGACTATGAATTATAAATCAATGAACATTTTTGAACTGACTACTTGGATTTTGTACCTCTCCATTCTTACTCCTGGCTCTCTGACATTAATAGTCCACTTAACAATTTACCCTTTTCTCTTTAGAACAAGTATGAGGGTTCTTATGTTTTCTTAGTTTCAAATGTACAGGTGCTGGTCATAAAATTAGAATATCATGAAAAAGTAGATTGATTTCAGTAATTCCATTTAAAAAGTGAAACTTGTATATTATATTCATACATTACATACAAACTCATATATTTCAGATGTTTATTTTGTTTAATTTTGATGATTACAAATGACAACAAATGAAAATCTCAAATTCATCATATCAGAAAATTAGAATATTGTGAAAAGGTTCAAAATTGATGGCCCCTGGTGCCACACTCTAATCAGCTAATTAACTCAAACCACCTGCAAAAGCCTTTAAATGGTCTTTCAGTCTAGTTCTATAGGCTACACAATCATGGGGAAGACTGCTGACTTGACAGTTGTCCAAAAGACGACCATCGACACCTTGCACAAGGAGGGCAAGACACAAAAGGTCATCGCTAAAGAGGCTGGCTGTTCACAGAGCTCAGTGTCCAAGCACATTAATAGAGAGGCGAAGGGAAGGAAAAGATGTGGTCGAAAAAAGTGTACAAGCAAGAGAGATAACCGCACCCTGGAGAGGATTGTGAAACAAAACCCATTCAAAAATGTGGGGGAGATTCACAAAGAGTGGACTGCAGCTGGAGTGAGTGCTTCAAGAACCACCACACACAGACGTATGAAAGACATGGGTTTCTGCTGTCGCATTCCTTGTGTCAAGCCACTCTTGAACCACAGACAGCGTCAGAAGCGTCTTGCCTGGGCTAAAGAGAAACAGGACTGGACTGCTGGTGAGTGGTCCAAAGTCATGTTCTCTGATGAAAGTAAATTTTGCATTTCCTTTGGAAATCAAGGTCCCAGAGTCTGGAGGAAAAGAAGAGAGGCACTTCATCCACGTTGCTTGAAGTCCAGTGTAAAGTTTCCACAGTCAGTGATGGTTTGGGGTGCCATGTCATCTGCTGGTGTTGGTTCATTGTGTTTTCTGAGGTCCAGGGTCAACGCAGCCACATACCAGGAAGTTTTAGAGCACTTCATGCTTCCTGCAGCTGACCAACTTTTTGGAGATGCAGATTTCATTTTCCAACAGGACTTGGCACCTGCACACAGTGCCAAAGCTACCAGTACCTGGTTGAAGGACCATGGTATCCCTGTTCTTAATTGGCCAGCAAACTCTCCTGACCTTAACCCCATAGAAAATCTATGGGGTATTGTGAAGAAGAAGATGCAATACACCAGACCCAACAATTCAGAAGAGCTAAAAGCCACTATTAGAGCAACCTGGGCTATCATAACACCTGAGCAGTGCCACAGACTGATCGACTCCATGCCACGCCGCATTGCTGCAGTAATACAGGCCAAAGGAGGCCCAACTAATTACTGAGTGCTGTACATGCTCATACTTTTCATGTTCATACTTTTCAGTTGGCCAACATTTCTATAAATCCTTTGTTTTTATTGGTCTTCAGTAATATTCTAATTTTCTGATATGATGAATTTGAGATTTTCATTTGTTATCATTTGTAATCATCAAAATTAAACAAAATAAACATCTGAAATATATGAGTTTGTATGTAATGTATGAATATAATATACAAGTTTCACTTTTTAAATGGAATTACTGAAATCAATCTACTTTTTCATGATATTCTAATTTTATGACCAGCACCTGTACTTAATACAAGGAGTGCAAAATGTGTAGTATGTGTTCAGATGGATTTTGTGTAGTGGCATAGTGTGGACCAAGGATTCCAGCTCATTCCATGCCTTGTGAATTTTCCAACACTTTAAAATGGAATTTGCTTTAAGATTGTGTGTAATTTTTACCCCAGCTTGTGCTCCCTGTTCTATCAAACCTTTTCCTTCACTTGCTGTGTAAATGTATTCCACAGACAAAAGTCAGCTAAGACCTAGTCTTTCATAGAAATTTGTTTTGTACAGAGGAGTTGAAGTTGTGATGAAAGTGAACAGAGATAATGTACTTTGGTGTTTGAAGTAACCAGTTCTTTAATGAAGAGCTGAGGTGGCAATGGCTGAAATGAAGGACTAGAGTAAATAGACACTCATATTTTTATTACTAGCATATTAAAGGCATGGTTTTGAGTAGATTTAAGTTTTTGGAAAAGTTGGAGATAATATGAAAAGGGCTTTTAGTTTGGGAGTGTTTTAGTCATATTCCCCAGGCTATAGTGGACAGTGACATGAAGTGAGTTGTGGATGTGGCAGATATAGCAGAAATAATGAGTTCCTTTTTATGTAAAGTTGAAATTAATTTTTCCTCGTTTTAACTTATGACTCAGCCTTGGGAAAGATTCAGATATTCAAGAAGATAGCATCAAGGATGGATTATTGAGGAACTCTGCATGTTGCAGTCTGAGTCTTGTATTCATTTCCATCGAAGATTCAGGTCTTTTTAAGATTTTACCATTTTTTATGACACACATGTAAAACAGCTGTCAAATATGTTTTGTTGATTTTGCTTAAGACAGTTCAAATAACAGGGGGTAAGCCCTTCAACTGTTAATATAGGCCTATCACGGGTCACATACGCAGATTACCCACCTAATAAACCTTTTGTCTTTAACGGACAGGTTACGGAAATAAGACGCTACTCTGTTAAGAATCGTTTTAAAATCTCCTTTAAAAAGAAAATGTTCAAAACGAATTGGCTGCTAAATCTCTGCGTTCAGCACCATGGACAGGGTTCTGAACAGCGATTGGGTCAACAATTTAACGTCAAGGATTAAACTAATCCCACCATTGGACCGAATCAATCTGACAGCAGAGCTCTACGCTGTGATTGGTGGATGTTTAGAATAGCCATTATTTATTACTACAGCTACACCGAGCAACAAAAGTATTGTTATCGTCCAATAGTGAAGTCAGGCAACGCTGGATCGGTGTTCGCAGTGTGTCCAGGTTACAGGTGAACCACGGTGTAGAAGCATATTGCAGAGGAGCCGCTGCTGTCGGAGGTAAGCAGATTAAGTTCCCTGTTCAATCCGTAATTCCTGGAAACGACAGCAAGCTCGAACATATTCAGCAATCGCAGAATGCAATAGTGCGTCTCATCGTGAGGCTGCCTCCGGTCTGGGTTAATATTTATTCGTAGATGATGGAAGCGGAAAGATAGTGTCGTTGACATCAAGCAGAAATATTCAATCTTCCTGGACGGCTATTCCACCTATTGTTAACCTACTTTTTTACTGTTCGGTGTAGCAGCTCTAGGATCCTCACCATTAAGTTGAGAATCTTTGAAAGATTTTCCACAAGTTACCAGATATGCAAAACTGACGTTTCTTTTTGTTTGACAGGGTTCAGGACCAGGTTGAAAACAAACTGTGCACTAATGGCTGGTCAGTATAAAATAAAAACGACCCCCCCCCCCCCCCCTCCACACACAAACACACACGCACAAACAAATGATTGACATAAAAGTGACATATTTAACTGTTCTTCTATCATTTACAGATACGGAGCCCAATTTCCCCCCGCTGCCCGGGTTTGTTCCTCTGAAGCCCTGTTTCTATCAAAACTTTGAGGAGATTCCTGAACAGCACCGCAGCATGTGCAGGAAAATGTACAAACTGTGGATGTGTGAGTGTTCAAAAGCAGTAGGCCTACTACCTCTGATACTAATGTTAAATTATCCCAGAGTGCTTTGCAATTAACTTATCCAAATTGTTTCATATAACATTCCTAAATGTAATATTTATATTTTATTTAGAATTTTACTGGGTCGACCAACACAAAGTTGTATAGGAAATTATACATGTGGTATCAATGTTTTTTGTCAATTTTTATAAGTATAAAACCGAAAAGGTTTGCATATATATATATAAAAACCCTTGCTCACCCACCGCCGGCTGTCCGCCCCCCCTTTTTTTCCTCCAAGCTCGGGTCCTCTACAAGAGGCCTGGGAGCCAGCTCTTCTCTGAGCCCCTGTAATGTCTTTAGTTTCTCATGTTCCTTTTTCCTGATGTTGCAGTCACTTACAGTACTATTGCTATGTCAACCACAATGGCTTTCCTCTGCTTTTAATCCACCACCACAATGTTTGGTTGGTTTGTCATTACCACGCTGTCCGTCTGTATGTGGAAGTCCCACAGGATGTGGGCTCAGTCATTCTCTACCATCTTTGGGGGTGTTTCCCACTTTGAACTGGGGTTTCCAGCCCATACTTTGCATAGAGGCTTTTGTACACTATGCCAGCCACCTGGTTATGGCGCACCATGTAAGCTTTCCCTGCTAGCATCTTACACCCTGCAGCTTTGTGCTGAATTGTCTCTGGGGCCTCTTTTGCACAGTCTGCACCTGGGGTCCTGTCTGGTGTGGTAGCACTTTTAAAAATTTATAATTTTCCTATACAACTTTGTGTTAAAATATATAGCGTTTACTATATATATATATATATATATATATATATATATACAATATACAAAATTAGCAGTAAATCAAACATAATCTATCAGAAAATCTCATCTGAAATATGATATATCTCCTAGCAATTCTTGTATAATAATAGGACTTTCCTTTTTTGTATTGAGTTATTAAAAGAAAATGAATTTTGACAATGTTTAAAGTTTTTATGTTGCAGCTTCAAAACAGTTTTACATATATCTAGATATATATGTTTTGTTGATTCAGTTTAACAATTGCTAATTAGGAAATGGTAGTGGCAAGCTCTATGCTGGGATGCTTTATTTGACCATCAACATGAAATAGGTCAAAGCTGGTGGGGAATGAGGACTCTTAAAACTGGGCATTTGGAGAATTGTTGTTATAGAGAGTAAAAGATTTGAGACTGGTCTGGATCTTCAATTTGAAGAAAGAGCACTTTAACTTTCAGGGAATATTCTAAGTCAGAACATTTGCCCAATGAATCTAACTGAGAGTCTGTGGCAGGATCTAAAAATATCACAACTTCTCTCCATCTAAACTGGCTTCGATGTAACTTAGATAAAACAAAATATTACTCATAATAGAATTTGAAATGCTGAAAATACATACTTCTTCTTCTTTAATTCTTTATCATTTAACAAATAACTATCCATTCAGGTTCATATTACATGTATGCACTGCTTTGTGTTGCCACATAAATTTAAATACATTAAGGTACGTGGTTGGATGAAAATATAATGATAAAAATACTTTGGCAAGACACTTCATTTGTCTTCCGCTGTAAAATAACTTTTCAAGTCATATTTTTTTCTTTCTTCCTGCAGGTGTCTTTTTAAAATAAATGCTAAACAGAAGGTATTTGATTTGTGATTGAAGCTATTCACTTTTTTCTGTGAGTCTTTTAATCAGTTGTATGCAAAAGCACATTACCTTAGTAATATACCTTTTCTTTCCCACACTTTTATTTTTCTGTTTTCTTCAAATTTTTTTACACTTGCTTTTTTATTTCATTTTAATTATGTATTTTTTTTCTTTCTTCTTTGAACAGTACATTATTTTATTGGTTTTTCCTATAATCTTTATTTTCCAATCAGACAGTTTTAAAACTGTTTGCCTTTACTTGAAATAAAGGCAGCGTAACAAAAAAGTATAGATTATAAAGCTTAACACTAAATCTGCTTTTAACTCCTTTTCAGTTGGTGAAGACTATCCTCTCATCACTCTTATTATTGTTTTTAAGTTCTTTTCTGCATGTGCATGTGAATAAAGAAGATATAAGCCTTTGTGTGTGTTTTGTCCCAAAGACTAAAACATGTCTGCAATGTTTTACAGTGAACAGCGCAACCCTTGCAGTAAATTTTATTGCTTGCTTTGCTTGGATGTTTGGTGGCGGTGGAGTCACCAACTTTGGATTGTCCATTATTTGGCTCCTAATGTTCACTCCTTGCTCCTACGTGTGTTGGTTCAGGCCCATCTACAAGGCATTCAAGTAAGTTAAATACTGAATCTCTAACATTATTCTTGTTGGATTTTATAAACTTGTCATGGTTTGCAATATTATTCTGAAAATGTTTAATTTTCAGTTGTAAATTAGTGGATATGTGTACATTTTTCAAGATAAAGAGGAATCTTGGTTTAACAAGCATGCGTGTAATTTGATTTCAAACCAAACAGCTTTATATGACGAAGGACCTTTTCTTCTAAAAACACATTACCTGATTATGAAAAAGTGTATTTTTGTTTACAGTTTGCCAATAATGTACTCCATGCATCAACAACTTTAATGGAAAACCAGTTTTGATCTCATTTGAAACATCCGCTTGTCAGAATGTATATTAAATAAATGTGCATGTTAACACAAGATGAAGTTTAAATCAACCGAAAAAGGTGCCTTAAAGGCCTTTCAAACAAATTACAGATTGCCCAATCCAGAGTTATTGGCACCCGTCAAATTGGTCTTTTATTAAGATTTTTTTTAAGATTAGAACTTAAAAAAAAATAAAAAATACATTTTGAGTTCAACCCATGCAAAGATTTTGTGTGTTTATAATAAAACCAGCATATTATTTTTAAATTTTTATTAAAGAGATGTAACTGAGGATTTTTTTTTCATATCTATTTTTCTTTACATGGGTTTGCATGGATTTTTCAATAGGTAGACAAAGATTTCCTGAATATGAAAATGTTGTGACACAGAAGACCAGTGATCTTAGACAGTTATAATGTACTTATAGATAAACAACATTCCGTCTTACTGAGGTTAATATTTATTGACCTTCCTTAGACAAATACTTTAGATATGGGCTCAAAACTTGCCATTACCAGCCGATCGATTGCATCTATTCAATTCAGTTCAATTCAATTCAGTTTATTTCTATAGTGCCATTTCACAACACAAGGCACTTTACAGTTCACCAGATCAGTCAGTCAGATTGATTCAAAGTTTTTATCTAAGGAAAACCAGTTAACTGCATCGACTCATTGACTCGAAAGCAATCCCTCACACTAAGCATGCTTGTAGCAACAGTGGAGAGGAAAAACTCCCCTTTAACAAGAAGAAACCTCCAGCAGAACAAGACTTAGTGTGAGCGGCCATTTGCTGAAGCCAACTGGGGTTCAGGGAGACAGAAGTAGACATACAGTAAGACTAGGCGCTAAAAGCACACAGGTTTGTTGAGCTAGCATAAACACTAAAGATTAAGCTGTTGTAGGTAAAGAAAAGGATCTTATGATAGATTATGCTACTGTAGTAAATTATGATTTTATTTTTAAGAATTTTTACGCAACTACAGAAGTTGTTTACTTTAAATGTCAATGTACAAAATCCATATAGATTGGTAAAAAAAAAAAAAAACTAATTGAAAAAAAGTATGATTTAATTATTAATATCTTTTTTTTGTATCTCTGATAGGTCTGACAGCTCCTTCAACTTCATGCTGTTTTTTTTTGTCTTCATGGCCCAAGTTGGAATCAGCATCATCCAGAGTATCGGCATCCCAGGATGGGGAGTATGGTAAGAGTTACAGAAATTTATTTTAGTTTACACTTTAACTGTGTTTATTAAACTTTATTTTCTGTGTTTTCTTATACACAAGCTTGCTTGTGCCATTTCTTAGGAAACTTTTACCTTTAAGGAAACGCTTAAGCTTAGCTGAAAACAAATAATTCAGTATAAGAAATACCTTCTGCCGTAATACAACTGTACCAACAGGATATAGTAGGAAGTTAATACAGATAAAGTTCAATTAAATACCTTATCCAAGGAGTAAAAGAACAACAAAAATTTGAAATACCAATAAATAAGAGAGAGCAATAAACACAACACAGGAAATGAAACACCAAATCAAGCTGGTGAAAGGGGAAAAAAAGAAAAAAAAGGACAAGAAGGACATGGGAAATTAGAGTCCAAAAGCAGGGAAGCATTTATACTCCTTGTATTTTATATTTAAGATAAATTTTATGTTTAAAATTACAACCAAAAACTTTGATCAATTTAGATTTTCTGCGATAAACCAACAAAACCTGGAGGATTATTTAAAGTGTCAGGAAAAATTATACACATTTTTTTTTTTTTTATACATTAACATGGAAATATGTTTTGTGAAAAAAAGCTTTGTGCGTAGTATTGTTTTATTTAGCCTTCTTAGGTGTTTGCTCTGTAACACATGTTTTGTTGAGATTAAAGCTACTAAAATTTTTAGGCTCTGTTCTAATGAAAATTTGCTCATATAGGAGCTGATTATTTTTCTCATTGTATGTTGAAAATTAATTCATAGTTATTAGAATTGATGAAGAATAATCTACAAAAACCTGTATTAGAGTCTTTAAATGGCTGCATTATTGGGCATAGATCTGGACCTTGAATTTGAAAACAGAAATCCGGTCAACAAGGAATGATTAATGGATCATCATTTATACCTAAAACTAATATGTTCGCTGTGATTTAATGAATTTAGTGTTAATAAGTAAAAAAGTAAAAACAAAATTTTTCGTTGCTATCACTGAGTCTGGGAGCGGCATTTTTGTCCATATATAGTAACACCTCACTCCAGACATCTTCCAGCAGTGACGCCACGGTCGGTAAGCCTAGCGCCATTCTCCGCGCTTTACAAGCAAAATCAATGGGAGCTACTAGACACATCTGCAATCAACAACAATAATTGAAGATTTCCAGGGGACTTCACCAAATTCCCCAGAGCTATAGTTAAACTCACAATGCCTGCTTGTATGGCAGTTGGATGTTGTAATACATTGGGTAAAAGTGAAAAAAAAAAAAAAAGTTTCCATGATCCTCCACGGACGGGTTCGCTGTTGGATTGCTAAATTGAAGAGGGAGGATTTGCCATCGAACTTCTGGCCAGAGATAAAACACGTCACATGTAGCCAACATTTGGAAGAAGAATGTTTTCAAGATGACTTGGATAACAGCGCGTTGTGACAAACATGGATGCCTCCGGTATAGCACATTCAAATGAAAATGACTCTTAATTAAAAACACTTGTCATTTATTGGACAGTATGTAATAATTTCATATATAAAGTACTTTCAGAAGTTTGTATTCTGAATTTGACCGGACTTTTCCTTTAATACGTTTTCTGTCAGGATTATCCTCTATTTAGCTCCATCCACTTTCTACAACCAAATTGATGAAAAGCACAAGCACATTCAGTATGATGCTGCCATTACCATATGTCCCTGTGAGGATAGTTTATCCATTCATCTACTCCTGCTTAATTCGTCAGGGATTCTGTGGGGCCGGTGCCTCTCTGGCAGTCTTGACGGGTCACTAGTCTGTATCAGGGGATTGTTTATTTTATTTTAATCTCAGACCAACATGAGCCAAAAGCTTTCCTTTTCCCCTACAATGTTTGTACTAAACTGGGACAAGATCTCTTGACCGTCTTTCAACTAAGTCTTTGTTCTAGTCACTCTGCATTAAGGATGAATTAGTAGTTGTTCTGTTAATGGATTCTCCTGCTTTAGACTTTTAGCCTTTCAACAGAGTTACTATGGGACTCTTGACTGCTTCTCTGATTAATGTTTTAATACTTTAAAACTTATTTTCTAACAGTTTAGGTGCACAGCCAATCCTTTAGAAGGTAACTGGTCTTCCATACCCTTCAGTTTTAGACGGCGGATTAAATTGTGCTTTGTAAGCTGTTCAAAGTTTAGACATGGGCTCTTACTCTATTTTTAACTTTTCTAAAACACTATTCCTGATCCATCAGCTGTGTTCCTTAGTCCTGATGATGTCGTTTGTTCACTATTTTTTTCCCCAAACAAATCTCAGAGGCCTTTTACAAAAGAGATGGATTTATATAGAGACTAAATGCACACAGGTGGTTTCTGTTCTCTAGCTGGATTATTTCTGAAGGCAGTTTGTTCTACTTAATCTTACTTAGAGGTAGCAGAGTATGTAATTCAATCAGAAAATAATGTAACAGATTTCCTATTTCAATTGGCAAAATATTTTGAAAACTATGTATTAATTTCTATTGACTTTGCTATCATGCATTATGTTGGTATAACAAAAAATATTCCCAGAAATGAATTTTAAGATACAACTAAAGATTAAAAAATTTAGTTGTAACAGCAAAAAGAAAAAAAGAAAAAAAAATGGATTCCCTTAAAAAGGGAATGTTCCAGTAGACAAGGTTAAAACATAAAACAACTTTAAGTAAACAATGTATAGTGTAAATAACTAAAGTATTACATAGGTTCTACATGGATAAAACATTAAACTAATTTTCATGATTAGAATGACAAAGAACTAAAACAAATCATGATATCTCTTAATAAAGTACAATAAAATACATCCAATCCAAAAAGAAAAAAGGTCATTTATTGAGTTTTTGTAATATTCAGTGCTTAAGAAACCTTAAAATGCCACCTAAATTCAATACAGTGTTTTTCCTGCTGCTTCTAATAAAAATGACGACGTCAAACTCTCAGATATTGGTTCTATATAACATTTATGTTAGTCATTATATTACATTTTAAGAGGCCAATAAAATAATCTAGCAAATGTCACAGGACTCCAGCTGATGATAAGAAATGAATGTTATGACACCCACCATAAAATCTGTAAATGTCACCATGTGCATCGGAACACTCTCATCCATCAAATGTTAAATTTTTATATCAATATACTTAAATCCATCAATATTACTGCATTTAGTAGCCAGATGTTCAGTTTTTTTTTTTCGTTTTTTAGTTGAAAGAGCGCTACTCCTTCCAATAACAATAGTTCCTTTTGTTTTTTTAAATCCTCTGTATTTAGAGCTGATATTTGAAATTTTTTTAACAGTCATATATTTGTTTTACAGCGGCTGGTTGGCGACAATCTCCTTCTTCAGCTATAACATTTTCATTGCATTAATCATGCTGATCCCTACAATCATGTTCACTGCTGTGGCCTCGCTGTCCTTCATTGCGCTCACCAAGGTAAAGGTTTCACAAGTTCATCACTTTGTAGAGCCACATAAGGTGAAAATGTATAGAGTTTAGGTATATATGTCTAATAATAATAAGGAAAACCAATAATGTATTTACATAACTTGTCCAGACAACCAGTTAAACTACCATCAATACATCCTTCAGTCAGTGCTATCTAGCAGCTGCCTTAGCAGCAAATGTTTGGTAGTATGTCTTTATCAGCTTTGACAGCCTCCAGTTGGATTTGATTGCTTTGTTTTATTTTTGGAAACATATTAGCAGATAAAATCAGACTGGAGGGAAACAATACAATAGCAGCCATTCAAAATGGCCCTTCCCTGTCAAACGCCAGCCGAATGGCAGCCCACTTCCATGCAACTCCCAGCAAAATACTCTCTAAATTCCAGCCGCTGGAGTGACCCCCTCTTGCATATTTATTTTTTTTATTCCACCCTTTCACTGAAGTGCAGGGTCTATCAAGGAGATTATGCTTTTCTTTAGATGTTAATGTCCACAAATCATGACCGAAAGAATATTTTAGTACAAAGATTGATGTTTAAAAAGGAATTAAAGGGGAACCTGCCAATGACCAACCAAGGGCGCATCAAGGAAAGTGAAGACATTTTAAATGGCTACTACGGTACATGACGATCAATGTTCAATTTCTTTGCCACAGTTTCTAAATGTTCCCACTCTCCAGCCCACCAACACCAAGCCCTCTAATAAGATTTTTGGGAAAATTTTACTGAAATTGCAGCCTTTCATATGTAATGACTATTCTTTCCCCATTCTTCTTTGCTGAACTCCATCTGATTGGATCCACTTCAAATGCTACATTTTAGTGACCTATGTGCAGAGCACCTTCCCTTTACATATTGGGTGTGTCCTCTGCATATTTTATAGCTAATACATGCAGAAAACGATATTTTACCCAGAAAACATATATTTTTTTCGTGCTGAGAGCACTTCCCTTAACTTGCTCTATGTCTCCACTGCTTTTCTGGTCCTATAGCCATCCAAAAACAACACCTCTGCTGAATTTTTTACAATAGCTTTCATCTTTTCACAGTTTTCTAAAGATGGAGATTTGAGGAAGTCATGACCAATACTTTTCCTGTTAACAATCATATTGGAGCAATTCTCGCCCATTGCTTTACCGCAGGCCTTTCTGGTCTCTAATCAGTGCTCCCCTTTCCTGTCCTTCTTTACCATAGCTTTTCATTTTCAGTTTTCTCTCTTAGCTGTGTGAAAAACTGATATTGTTTTATAAAATATCTCTACTTTATACATTATTATCCCTGAACTTTGTGCTGTGTTGCTTGGTTATACTGATGCTGTTTGTTCACAGATATTCTAACAATATAGAAGGCTTAATACAAATGGATGTCAGAGCATTTTCAGATTTTTGCTCGTAAGAGCATTTCAAAAGTATGAATCACTTTTCTTTGACAACTAAGTACCCATAAACTTGGATAATTTATCCGCTAAAAATCTGGTGAAATATGTCGTACTCTGTGCAAATATCTGAAATATGAAAAATTGAGAAAAATGCTCAAGAGGTTTAAGTACTTTTGAAAAGGACGTGTATCTTTCATGAGAAACTCTTTCATTATTAAGTTGTTATCCTACCTTGCCCACAGATCCATAATTTCTATCGTGGTACTGGGGCCAGCATGTCCAAAGCTCAGGAAGAGTGGGCTACAGGAGCGTGGAAGAACCCTCATGTCCAGGAAGCAGCCCAGCAGGCCGCCATGGGGGCTGCTACTGGAGCCATGCAAGATCAGTTCTCCAGCCCACAGTACAACCAAAACCAGATGTAACATCATCAAGATAGGAGACGTCAGAGATTCAATGCTAAAATTTAACATCAGACCTCAAAACAATTTTGGGTATCTGTTTTTTTTTTTATTTTATTTTTTACAAACTGCATTGAAAGTCATTCCGATTTCTTGAACTACCTTCAATGCAAGTATTTTTTAATTGAAATTGAGCAAAAATATGTACATTTTTCTCTTTTAAATAGGTGAATATAAGAGTAACTGTAATAGCTTAAGAATTGTGTTCTTATTTATAAACCTTTATTTATGGAGATTTATATGAACAAATCTAAAAAAAAGGGTCTACAACAACTGGCTCGATGAATAGTTTTTGGATGATATAGTACTCATAGAAGTGATAAAGTTTATGTTTTATTCAAACTTAAATATGAAATGGATGTTTTAAATGTTGTTTGAAAGATGATGCAACCTCAGACTTGAAAAAAATGTAAATTATCTTTATCAATAATTTTAATATGAAATGTAAATGTCTGTAATAAAATTAAATAAAAATGACTGTATAACATAAATACATCTTCTGACAATCTGAGCCCTTAGCTTCCTTATTGCTTCACTTTAGTGAATTTTTGTTGTTTCATTTTCGCAAAGACATTAAAATACAAAGTCAGACTGGAGGGACAGAATACATGACCATCGATTTTCAAGTGTTGCTAGAAGTCTTTTCTATGTCTGCTTCTGTCTCCTTGTACCCCAGTCGGCTTCAGCAGATGGCCGCTCAAAATGAGTTTTTCCTCTCCACTGTTGCTACATGCATACTTGGTGTGAGGGATTGCTGAAGAGTCAATGGCAACATGCAAGCAAAAATCGTCTCCACAAGCTCATCCAGGATGAGTTTGTGTTGCAAGTTAATGATTGGATTCAGTTAACTGGTTATCATGACCAATCTGACAGCTTTTTCTCTGTGAAGTGCCTTGAGACAACATAATGTTGTGAATTGGTGCTCTATAAATCCCCCTTGAAGTCAAGTCCATGGGAGTAAAGCATTGATATAAATTAATGATGCCCCCCCCCACCCCGACAAAAAAATGAAATATCCAGAAGAAATTATAGCAAGCAACATTTAATAAAGTATTAGTGTAAATATGTATTTAGACCAGCATGGATAAGGGAAAATTCATTACATTGCAAAAATGTGGAGCCTAATTCTTTGATAAAATGATAGAGGCTACTATTTGATTTTTTCATCTAGTAAAAAAAAGGTTTAATCATAGCATTGAAGAGGTACATTTACATATATGACTTTTCTTCTACAGCTTATGTTACAGTTTTGTTCTTAACACCTTACAATATTTTAAGAATGCTGTTTTTGAGGAAATATATTGTGGCTAACAACAACAACAACAACAAAAAAAAAACAACAACCTTAACATACATTTTTACTGTTATGTTGTATGACCACACAGGGGCGCTATTGGATCTGGTATGAATTAAATACCCTCAGCCACCCTTACCCTGATTAACCCTTCTCAAATACAGGTCTAGAGTGCATTTATCTGTGTAATTCTGTCCAGTCAGTCATAGTGGGGTTCAAAACAGGAGGTTAAAAGTCTTACTTCAGCACAGAAAATAGCACATTTACTACTAGCGAGCTGTGGTAACCACCATTTATACAGTATTTGTAGCTTTGCTATTCATTGTTGTTTTAGTGTTTTGTCCAATTTGAACAAGATGTTCTTTTGGTCCTTAAAATGTGATTTATTAGGTTTCCAAAACATTACATAAAGAAAATGATACTTGAGTCACATTTAAACAGTGTCATTATCCAAACTGAGAGGAGACAAAGCATTTACCTGTAGATGGCACTATATTCCCATAATCCTTGTCCAGTATTCCCGACAGACTAACCAATAGAGGCACTAGATGCCTCTTGTTTTTTGAAAATTAAAACTGTTTAAGAACACATGGAATTTGAGGTACTTAGTGTGACTGTTGCCTCTTGCCAACTGTAAAAGTTATATTCACATGTTTCAAAGAGTTTATCTTTTGACACCTTATACACAGGAGTCCATCAAATAATGTGTTAGAAATCCACTCTAAATAGATTAATCTGAGTTTTTCTCCCATGTACAGAGCTGCCTCTCCCCAAGCTGTGAGAGATGATCGAATTACCCCACAGAGTGTGGATGGAATTAGACCACAATATAGATGCCCAGAGGACCAACTAGCAGCCAGACACAAACTCTGTAATTGCTGCACTCAGACTTCTTGAGACAAGTAGTGACAGCAAAGGCTTGTGACATTGAGGAAACAGTAATGTTCGACAAAATGCAATTATTCAGGAGGGATCGACTGAATACAAGTAAGAAGATTGTGCAAACTCTTCACATGTATTATTTGCATATGCTATTAAGTCAAAATTTGGATAGAATAACTACAGCTACATCACGTGCACCATCCCACATAGCGGTCATCAAAGTCACTTACGCCAAGCCAGTTCTAACAGGAGTTGTGGCCTAGTGGTTAGAACATGGAGCTTGGAATCCTGATATTGTGATTTTGAAACCCACTCCCACGGACTGTCACTCTGGGTCCTTGAGCAGAAACCCTTAATCCCACACTGCTCCCCAGGTGCCGCAAATGGCAGCATACTGCTCAACAAGGGGTTAGTTTAAATGCAGAGAGTGAATTTTCGTTGCACTGTACTTATGACAGAGTAATGACAACAAAACACTAGGAAAAAAAATATAATGCTGAGCATTGGATTGAGCTTATAAGGTACATTTGGAAGAATACTGCTTACTTTTCACTGTGTCCTCTGATGTACAGACCTGTATTTCACAAATTCATTGATTTAAAGGTCCTATGTAATACACTCTTAAGCCTTTCAAATGCCACCGTAGGCAGATATATATGATGTAATATTACCTTTGGTTCTACAGAGTATTTATTTGTTATGAAATGTTGACAGATTTCTCCCAACCAAAAAAAAATATTTCCCTTCATTGTGATGCCTCCTTTCCCTGTCTGGGAGCTTCCCTTTTCATGGCATTGCTGTATCACTCCACTTAGGCTCCACATTAGCAAACCTGAAGAAATTGTGGGACCTCCTGTGCAGCTGTTGAATGAGCATCCAGATCTCAACTTTAAAGGTGTAGTAAGAAACTAAAATAAAGCCAACAACAATAGTAAGTAACCTGATAGTAACATGTCAGACAGATTATCTGGGGGAAAAATCGTGCTATTCTGCCTCCTCCCAGTGGTATTACTGTCTTTTGCAGAAATACACTACTACCAGTCAGAAACAACCAATCAAGCACCAGAAGGAAAGTTTAAGCAGTACCAATCACGTTCATTTCAGTAGTAGCCATTCAAAATTTCCCCACTTTCTATGATGGGCACTTGGCTGGTCTTTGGCTGGTCCTTGGTTGGTCCCCTGAGATTCTTTGTGCTTAAATGTTCTTTCTGTCATGATTTGGTGACATAGAGATCTAAAGAGTAGCAGCTTCATCTGGTCAAACTCTGTAATTCAGTGAAAGGGTGGAGTAAGAGTAAAGAAATATGCACACCCAGGAAAAAGAGAGGGTCATTCCAGTGGCTGGAAGTTGGCTGCCCTTCGGCTGAAATTTGACTGGAAAAGGCCACTTTGAATGGCTGCTAGTGTATGTGCTGTTCACCTTCCTGCCTCTCGCAGCCAGCACAATCGCTCAAGATCGCAGGTGTGCTGCATCTGTAAATCAATGTAAGCATTCTGTTGATGATCGTTCCCTACCAGTGCATCTATAGCTGTTTATCTGCCATCATTGCCTTTCTCACTAGCTTGCAAGTTCACAGCAGGTAGAGGTAATATATAGATGATTTTCAGAAGTGTGACATCATGAAGCATTCTATCTTATCACCCCCATATTGAGTACCAAATGCTTAGCTTAACTCTGTGGTACTTCCTCTTGACCAGAATGGATCATTTTCATTTAAATCCCCATCAGCTTAACCGACACACAGAGAAATCGTGGATATTGAATGCTATCCATATGAAATCCCTGCAGACTTTTTAATCACCTTTCTTCAACAGACAAGCTTCCTGAGTTTTCCTTTCATGACATATACATATATATTATACATAAATTGTCACACAGATGCCTATGGGCATTTCACATCTGGCAGGGTTATTGACCCGAAAATGGCATCTGAAAAACAAGAAGATAGTCATATGTAAAGCAAAGGTAAGTTGCGTTCTGCAGGTCTTTATGCTTGCTTTTAGGTTAACAATGAAACACAACTATAATGTCTTTAGTATAATATTCCGATCTTAATATTAAATGCACCTTTTTCTTTTTGGGGTCCCCCTTTTTATTGTCACACCCGATGCTACAACATATGGATTACAGTTTTGACACACAGGGGACCAGAGAAGGTACTGAATATGGCTGTGGTTGGAATCGAAGTTTGACAAGTCTTTGATGTCACCTGCATGGCATCTATATTTATAATATGCTTTCCAAGTTTACAAAAAACAGAGATTTCTAAATTTCTGTATTCCTCTTCACAAAAACTTAAGGAACAAATATTGCATTAATGGTACACAATTAATGCAACAAACCAAACCGCCACTTACTGATTTGAAACTCTCTTTTTGCATGTCTTTGGTTCTTTTCCATTGCTTCATTGTGTGGCTTATCAGCTATAGCCCTCTTTTATCAATCTAACCTGCTGTAAACCCCTTACAGCTCTATCGCACTCTGCGCCTAATTGGTACAGATCATTTTCACCCAGCTGTCTTTCTAATCACTTCTCACCATAAGCCTTACTTCATCTCTCTGACTCTAGCTTCTCCTTTCTACCATCTTTCTTTGAAGACTTCCCCACTTACTTATCCCACCTCCATCACCAGGATGGGGAGGATAGCTCTTCACTGCAGTCCATCTATGAGCATCCTGTACTCATGCAGGCATGAAAAAGTACTGCTGACCTGTCCCAAATTCTTTATAAGGAATACCAGCTCTTGCCTTCTGGCAGGAGGCCCAGAATCCCAAAACTGCTATTTATACCACCTCTACCAAAATTTTAAATCAAATTTTGAAATTAATCTGTACAGGTGGAAATTGGAAGAGTGCAATAACTTGGCATTCCTGTTGTTTTACTACTTTTGTTATTTTCATTTTTGTTTCTTTTGTTGTCATTCCTTATCTGGCCTAAAGTTATGCCACAAACATTTATACAATTTTATCTCACCTAAGGTGTCTTTTTCCAGTCACCTGGTAAAACCTTACTATCCCCAAGAAATGTTCTTAACTCATCCTTAAACATTGTGAAACTATTCTGCAATCAGGTAACTATGGATG